TATAATATCTATGCTGTAGTAGTAATAATAATGATTATTCATTCTAAAATAGCAACACGCTACAGGAAGCATTTCAATTTACAGGCAACGTCAAAATGTCAAAATCGATTAAAATTTTTTTATTTAAAATGTCGGTAGTTACATTACTATTTTACAAAATGCACTGGCTGCCTATTTGTGGCTTAAATTTTTTGCATACTTTAAACCGTTAAAAACCGTTTGATATCATGTGACTATTGTAAAGTTAAAATATCTGTATATTGAATCATTCCTGGTTATCGAAACTGCACTTCCATTTATGTTGAAATAACCTTTAGTTCACTCGCTATCTTAATGTGTAAGCAAAGTGAATACAAAATATTTTAAAGACTGTAGAACCGAGAGTTTAATAGTCTTTTTTAATTTTGGTGCTCTATACAATGAGTTGAAAACTATTACCTTAGTTCGCTAGATGTACTCATTGTTTTCAAGGTTGTTACTATTATTTGATGCTAAGCACTGTGGTTGACTTGTCTCCACTCTGAATCTGTGGGCCTTCAAGATTATTTTCTCTGTCTTATCATTGTTCGTGTTTTTTCAAGAATAAGAGTAGTCTGTGGAGTGTATGTACATAGACGGTACAAATTGCTTTGTCTGACCTGAAGCATGTATATATTCTTTCTGATGTTCAAGTAACTTGAACTGGAAGACCACCGCACCTGAATGCGCCTTTCTGGGCAAAAATGCTGCTCCTGATATGATAAGGCTGACTAATCATGACGTGAGTTACAGTGAATGAACTTACATAATGTTAGAATCACTGTCAACCCCACTGTCTGCACGTAGCAATCAGGACGTATGGCTTTTTTGGAACCTCTGAAATGCGATCAAATTGATAATGATGTTTTTAGTACTACAGTTAAAGAGGCACATAAAATGACGATGCCTGGGTGGCTAAGCCATTCCGTCTTGATAATGTTCTCATGCTGACGTTTATTGCGCTTAAGTATTTTTGATCAATAACTAAAATTCCGGTGTTAAATCTCTCAAGGTAGGGCACGCGTATTACATATAATTGTTTTGTTCGCAAAAGTATTTCTCGGAACCATCTTGCATTCACCGTAGCTCAGTATATCATACTTAATGCTAAAGCCTTGAAAATTTAACTAATTATTGTGAAGTCAGGGAAGGATATTTCATTCAACTACATGCAGAATTAGATCAGACAGACAGACAACTGAGGTTAGTAAACTAAACAGTAAATGAAATGAGTATCTCACGTGAAAATGAACTGCGAAATTCTTTCGAATGTCTCTCCGAATCCATAAAGTTATTAGCACAATGAGAAGCATGTTTATGTAACCTAAGTCTTCGGATGTAAAGGCAGAAATTTAGGCGAGAGCACATAGCATTTAAAGCCATTAGAATCGCCGAATCAAATTATCATTATCATTTAATCTCGCTAAAACTCTTTAATTCGTGAAAACCAGTTTAATTTGTATTTGAAAATAATTATCATGTTAAAGTGTTAACATTCCTTCTACAAGTTTGGACATCAAACTGAGTACTTTACTTTCGGCGGGAAATGTTATGTGGTCGGTCGTCGGAGGTTTCAGAAACAAAACGGGGTATTTTGGGTATGTTGGTAGTTTTTGGGTAATAATTGTGTCAACTTTAGACAACAATGATATTTCCAAAGGCGGCGCAACATGTGAGACTAGACAGTGCGATTGGGACGAAAGGTCTAGGATTCAGGACGAAGACGAATTGTTAGGTAGATCAGATGAAAATCAGGACCTGTCTTATGAAACTCATTCTAACGAAACCGGTAGTTTTGGCGAGTTCCATACTGCTGTTGAATGTCTTAATGATTCAGAGGAAGGTAGTGGCGACTTTTCCATCAATACCAAGAAGAAAAGTAATTTCGTCAAGCTCTCCACCGTTACCTCAGAGGATGTCGATCCTTTTGAGGACGTCACTACTGCTGTCTGTGAAGCTGAAGACAAAAAAGCTATTTCGCCGATTGAGTGGGATAGAGTTTCTGATGAAGAGAGCGAGAATAGAGACGAGCTTCATGTGGATGCTCCAGGAGACGAGTTTTCGAAAGAGGAAGAAGCGCAAGTTGCAGTTCGGTCTTCTAGTATAAGAGGACGTGTCTGCACAACAGAAAAAGAGAACTTGCTAGATTCACGCCTCTTTAGGTCTGCAAAGTATTTTCTGATCAAGAGCAACAATTTTGAAAATATTGAAATAGCGAAGTCCCGTAATGTATGGGCTACAACAAAGGGTAATGAGACAAGACTGAACAAAGCTTTCTTTGATTACAATAATGTATTGCTCATCTTTTCTGTGCGTGAAAGTGGTAGATTTCAAGGATTCGCCCGCATTATCGCCTCCTCAGATCCTCGGATCAAGGTTGACTGGGTGCTATCCTCACGCATGAATACTGGACTCCTGAGTAATCCTTTTAGGATTAAGTGGATTTCGAAGTTTGTCGTTTATTTCAGTTATTTTGATAAATAGGTCCGATCTACCTTTCACAAAAACTGGACATCTTTTAAATGCATGGAATGAGGACAAACCTGTGAAAATCGGAAGAGATGGTCAAGTGAGTTTATGGAATATTGACTTACTTTGCTTCAGGAAATCGAACCCACATGCGGCGAGGCACTGTGTCGGTTGTTCAATAAAGATGAATCTGGAGAAGATCAGAAACAACTAAACACTGTTCAGGCTATTGGTGAAAGAATTAGTCGTAGAAATGCATTTGAGAGACTTGGCAAAATTGTTGGTCGCCATGGTCAAACAAGTCATAATGGTGCTCGTGTTATTGGCTTAAATAGTCAAGTCAACACTGGGTTGTTGGGAGACGCAACTGGAACAAACCAGAGATATTTAGCATCCACTGAACGAAGGAGTTTGATGAATTACCCTCCTGTAACACCTTTAATAAACACAGACGGTTCGCGACTGACCTCAGCAGGTACTACACCTTTATTACAAGTAAATGCGGCAGCGGCTGCAATGGCAGCAGCCGCAGCTATGGCTGCAATCAAGTCTGGACCACAGTCAATTGGTGCTTTTACTCGGAGTGGGACAAATACTCTCAATTCCACAATGAATTCCAGACTGCCTATACAACCACCTACTCTCCCTAATATATTCTCAACCTTCCCAAATTCAGGCAGTTCTTTTTCACGTTTAAATGTATCTAGTTCTTCTAATGCTACTCTGTTCCCATTGTTACAACAACAGCAACTTCGTATATCTGGATCAGCGGCAAATGTCGCCGCAGGTGCTGCTCTTTCACAAGCAATACAACAAGCTCGTAGCATATCGAATTCTAATGTGATGAATCGATCAGGTGTACCGGTCAATCATGTAGTAAACAATGTACCCGCAAAATCCCAAACTGAGAGGAGTCGTTCGCGTTCTGCCAGCAATAGCACAGCTTGCAGTTATGCTCGGGAACGTAATCCAAGACATCGAAGAGCTGATGGTTATGTAGAAGAAGAGTCTCCACGATTTGAAACAACTCGACGGAAGTCACATTCCCCGAGGTTAGGTGTCATTGAACAATGGACACAAGAATCAAAAATTTGTGCTAATTTATTTATTATTTATTTGTGGACTGTTTCACATCTAGTTAACCACATTGGCTTATTATGCTTTACGTGAACTGTCAATTTTTTTAACTTTTCATGCTAGTAACTTGCTTGTACCATAGCCACATGTGGCTCACATGAACAATTAACATTAGATTTCATGTTTTTGGATGTTCAGTTGCTAACATAGTTGTGATAGTAGGCATATGAAGAACTAAGAAGTCTTCACAGGTTCTTGTGCGCACCAAACATGTTCATTTTGTAAGTGAAATTTGGCTTAAGTTTGCTTGTGTTGAGGTTTTATTGGTCTTCATTTCCTGAAGTGAAGTTAATGTTTGGTAGCATATTTTATTCATTTTCTTTTTTTAGAAATAACAGGTAGAGGATGTTTGTGGGTATTTAATTCTTCGTTTTCATGTATTTTGCATTAACATTTATTTTCATTTCCGATAACGTATCCTCATTCACACCGAAACGCTTGGTTTGGTCGTCAAGGCGGCGTGAATTAACTTCAAGACATGGAGATTATGAAAGTAAGTTTGAATACTTCCATTATTTCCAGCTTTCTGATTCCGACATATTTCGTTCACAAATTGCTTACTATTGAAATATATTTGTCGAAGAATGCCTTGTGAAAAGCTTATGTCGTACATGAGTACCGAAAAAAACTTTTGTAACATTAGTGAAAGATATTTCCCCGGAGGCATACATAATTTACTGAATGTCATGAGGGTCTAAAACTTAGAGTAGATGATATTTTTAGGCAATAAACTTGTACTTTTACCTATTTTGTGTAGTGACGTAATCTGTTTCAAGTCATTATGATCACTGACCTTAATTGCCGTGATTGGTTTGAAATTTTCATATAAATAGTATTCATATACATTAGATTGAAGCCTGATGGTCGAATCGAAAACAGTATTGTCCGATTATATGTTCTAATTAGTATTCAATCACAGGTGCTTCAATAGATGAACTAACGAACCCTCATCAGTTGAGGTGGTTGGGTCCGACCGTAACTGTTAACCATGACGTGGTGGTTGGGCTTGCCTATCGTGATGACCCAACCGAGCTATATTGGCTAGAACATGTGTTCCTGTAGGTTCTACCATGCCAGGCAGGTCGACTGGAGACCGATGAGACTAAAAGCAGCTCCTCAAGGTCTGAGGGCGAAGTCGTACTACTGACTAGAGGGGTGTGACGGCAGTATGGGCAAACAGCGTCTGCAGCGATGCTGCCTTCTCACAAGGAAGGAAGGGTTAGAAAAGGTCGACCCTAAAAATGTCACACCTCACCCTACCTCGCGGATTTCCGTCTCCGTCGGTAAGGGTGCCCACTAAGGGCTTTTAAGAGCGGAGCTAACACTCAAAAAACTTCTCATAAAAAGGCCGCGCGTGACCGGCCTCAAGTTGTCCTCTGGGCTCTGCGGTTGTGGTTTCAGGCCGTTAGGACCAGCACTTATCCAGATTCTTATTCAGGTTCCTCAATAAACATACGGTGTTTTCAGCCGGGAAGCGACATACCCCGTCGAAACCGTACCAGCACACGAGACAGAATTGGTCACAAGCAAATCCTTCCTGCACCCCCTAACATCCTCCTTATCTTCTTGACTAACTCTTCTCACATTCCTTTATCACTCCGCACCGCTGATGCATAAGATTTGAGTTCCCAAAACATTATTGCTGGTCTGCTGAAACGCAGTTCTGGATTACATGTTGGGGCTTTTAATGTACGGACATAGTGTCAAATAGGGCAACAGGCTTCTTTAGCTAGGACTTTAGAATCTAGCTCAGTCGATGTATGCCGCGTCTCGGAAACGCGCATTCTGAATCCGAGTAGCGTCATTCACTTGACCTCACTGTTTCGAGATACGGGAACAACTCGATTTACTCTTCGTGTATCTGGGAGTCCTGATGCTGCTTCCCGGGGTCTCGCTGGTGAAGGTATAGCATTGAGTCGTAGGGCAGAACAAGCGCTTCTAGACTGGATCCCAGTAGATAGTCGCTTGTGCGCTGTCCCACGAAACGGGACAGTAAGGACTCAGAAAGATACGGACACTCGACGTTGCATCTTCGTCATATCTGCCTACGCTCCCACCGACTGCACTCCAGACTGTATGAGAAATGAGTTTTACAGGAAGCTTTCGAACCTCCAAAAAGTTAAGCGCTCTGATATAGATATAATGGCTGGTGACTTCAATGCTCAAGTAGTTAGACTAAGTTAGCAGGAGAGACACCCTGGTGGATCTTATTGTGTCGCGGCCGATCGACCAGACAATGGCGACCGTCTGTTGCAGCTGTGCTCAGATAACCGCATATTTCTAGCAAACACTAGGTTCAAGCATGAGGAAAAACATCTTTTCACCTGGCGACCCCCAAAGTCGTCTCATCGTTGGACCCAACTAGATCACATCACCACCAGCCACCGATGGAAGGGTTCGATAGAGGACTGTCAGTCAGTTGCAAGGTAGAACTTCGTACGTAAGTACATCAGTTCCAGTTGCCATCCCACAATAAAACAGATATATTTCTATCAGATACTATATTATTTAAACTTATTACCCTGTGATTCTCACAAGAAGACTTTTGTCGATTCTTATAGATTGGGACAATCAGTGATTGAGACCACTCGGATGGGATTACGTCCAGTTCTCACATTCTACCTAAGATCTCAGTCAACCTAGCTGCTAAAACTGGACCACCATCCTTGAAAATCTCGGGTAAATCTGTCAGGACCCGCAGCTCTCCCTCGCTTCAGATTTCCTATCGCTTCCTCAACTTTATAAAGATTCGGTTTCCCATTCAGGATGGCTGGAGGACTGTCGCTTGTTTTGGAGCTTATGTTTAGATTCAGATCATGCTCTAGTGCGAGCACGCATTTCTTTGCGACTCACTGGACGCAGGAAAGACATCGCAAGAATACATTTTAGGGTTCTACCTAATGAGAGCAGAGCTAAGAATATATTTCAGGAACAATTAGAAAAACAGTTAGGCAACCATGTAAGCGATTCCGATCCGGAGGCAGCTTGGAATGATATCCAAAAAGCTGTAGAAACTTCAGTCATAGCTAATAATAAAATAAACCACTAAGTTAGAGAGATGTGATGGATTTCAGTGGCATCCACCGAACTGATGGATGCTCGGAAACTCATCCCGTCTGGCCCCAAACATGACGAAGAGCGAAGTCAGCTTATGCGCTAGCTGATTAGATTTTACCAACGTTCGTCACTAACGACGTAAGCGAGATATCCGATAGCTAACTAAAGGGCGGGTGTACTGAGCGGCAGTTCGCTTTCTCTTTGAACAAAAATCATCTTTATGACGGACGTCCTTACGCTCCCTGCGTCGATGTTGTCTCAATGGTCAGTTTTGGTACATAGTGCCGTGAACCAGTGCCAGCAAGGAGCAAGAGGATTTGTTTTAGTCTTTCGGACTGAGCTGGAATGGTACGGACTGGATGTAGCAGGGGCAAATTTATTCCAGTTAAGTGTCTGGTGTACTGAATGCTCCGGAGTTCGACTAGACCCACCACTCTACAATATAGTTGTCGCTCGCTGTAGATTAATGAAACGTTGGTATTCATTAGCCATATCACTAAGGGTGAGTTTAGGATCTTTCTCCAATGGACACAGTAGCCGTCACTGAACTTTCGGACTGGAGGCCGCAAATGAGGGTGAGGGCTTTGAACTGGTCTTCCAACAAGTACTTCAACTGAAAGCGTTCGAACTCACGGTTGTCGATAGCCACATGTATAAGAAAATCATCGTCTTCCTTCATAATTTGCTTCAAAGTCGATACGGGTATAAAAGCATTTTTGAGTATTAGTTCCGCTCTTAAAAGCCCTTAGTGGGCACCCTTACCGACGGAGACGGAAATCCGTGAGGTAGGGTGAGGTGTGACATTTTTAGGGTCGACCTTTTCTAACCCTTCCTTCCTTGTGAGAAGGCAGCATCGCTGCAGACGCTGTTTGCCCATACTGCTGTCACACCCCTCTAGTCAGTAGTACGACTTCGCCCTCAGACCTTGAGTAGCTGCTTTTAGTCTCATCGGTCTCCAGTCGACCTGCCTGGCATGGTAGAACCTACAGGAACACATGTTCTAGCTAATATAGCTCGGTTGGGTCATCACTATAGGCAAGCCCGACCACCACGTCAAGGTTGCAGCTACGGTCTTTCTAAACTTATCCCAATTATACTTCAATAATATCTTGGAATCCTAATCTTCTCCTTTACCAGTAGTACTTCTACTATCTATGCCACTATGGGATTTGAATTGACAATTGCGTCTATGTGCTAATGTGGTACGGCAACGTGAACTGATGTACTCACGTAGGAAGCTCTACGTTGCAGCTGACTGACTCAAACATCGATAACGAGCTGCCGCCGAAATGTTGGCTTAATGTCTGGAATGTTCCCGAGAATGAGCGATCTCGTTAGTTCAAAGACAGCATCAAATTACAGTATCTGTCAAGCTCATTCGCACCCAACTTTTGAAGTAACAGCCGAACCTTCCAAGCATTATCTTGATTGGCGAAATCAATTACACCATAACCTGTGTTTGTCCATCAGTCAACAACACAAAACTTAACACGCACGTACATCGGTCCGAGTTGCCATACTTCGATTACCATTGGGATGAGAACATCAGGCCAAACCTCAGAGTAGTAGAGGTAGTAACAGCATTAGTGGTTATGGAAAAGATTAGGTGTCGAAGGTAAAAGTCAGCGAAAAAAGCAAAAAATTATGCTGAATTCCGAAACTCAGGACTTTGGGAGAACAAAAGTGGATGCATCTGCACCATTGCAAGCGATTTTGAGCCATGTCATTTGAAGTCTCTAGCTACTGGTTACGGTCATCACGCGAACCCCTAACCTACTGACATGGCTCAGTCCAACTGTCAGTGACTTCATGGACTAGTACCATGTTTTGCTAGGATAAGGTGCTTTATCTTGTTGTTGGATTTTACTAACTAGTATTCACATTTAGTTATCTTTTTTGACCACCTCATACCCTTTATACTCTAGACTTACAGCTTTTTGAGCGACGAGTTCCATATTCCCGGAAAACTTCGAAGGATTCATGTTGTGTCCTGAAATAGACCATTGTCTTCATGCTTGTAGCCATATTTACGACAAAAGACTAAAGATAGCCCCATTAAATAGGAATATATTACTGAAGAAGTAGTGGAACTCCATCAGTTGGTGGTTAGGACATGTGTTACGTATGCCTAACCACCGACTGCATCGACGAGCTTTGTTTTCTGGTGTAGGATTAGGTTGGAAGGAGTGGCCAAACCGAAACGTGGCAAAATCCCATTAAGTCGCTGGCAAGTGGACTGAGTCATATTGGTAGATGTAGACTACCTGGTTGGGGTCCGCGAAATGAATGTCTCAGACGGTTTGAGACTTTGACGATATGTCTCAGAACCGTTTACAATGGCGCAGGTGCATTCATGCATTGTATCCCCTGAAATGCAAACCTTCTGATTTCCTCAACATCTCTATCGTTCTTTTTCTAAAGTTATCTCACTGCACTATGCTACTCGAATCATATCTTCGAACTCTAGTCTTCTTCATTACTGCTAATTCTTTACTATCCCCAACACTAAGGAATTCGAATTGACAGTTGCGTCTCTGTGGTTGTGTGATATGGCAACATGAACTTTTGTACATATGTGCGAAGTTCTACCTTGTAACTGACTGACGATTTGTTTGTGATTGGTCTGCCGATTCAGCCTTTAGACTTGTGAAGACAGTTTATTTTGGTGTGTGTAACTTATTTGTTTTGATCATGCTAATGGTACCATATGCGTAATAAATTACATTTGATTTCTATTTTGTGAGTTGATAAAATTATAATTCTATAAATGGTTTGCAACGTACTTACATTTCTGCACTTTATGAAGTGATATACTTTGCATAAATTGATCGGATAAGTTAATCAAGTATTGAAGTTTGACGAAGGGGATTTCTAGAATGCCAGAGCTTTATATGGAACTTACTTTTAAACACAGTAATTCTTATCTTAAAAGCAACCATTAGGAAAATCAACACTTTCTTACTTGTGGTCACTGAATGTTTAAAACGAACTATATCCATATTAATTCGTGTTGTCTTTTAGATGGGCTGTAATACTGAATCGCTAGAAGTATTATTTCGCCATTTTGCGAAGATAGATAGTTGTCTGATTATTATATCTACGGTGCACTTGCACTTGCATTCAATTGTTCCATCTACAAAGATAGGTTAGGTCGATAAATACCGGGAAAGTTTTCTGTATCTTAGACACCTAACAAACCTTCAGATTTTTTATGATCAGTTTCATTTTCGGTGAACGATTAGTCGATTTGTAGCTATATTATTTAATCCACCAAGTGCAAATTTCTGTTCTCGGTATAATGCATAACAAAAATGGTGCATTTTTTGAATTCACAACCTGTTTGTTAGATGTCGAGTGTTTTAACTACTAACTGTTAAGATGAGTACCGAAAAAACCAGTTGTAGTAACAGTGACAATGAGAAAGATGAAACAAAATATTCGACGCGTATTAGCGAAATGAACAGCACGAAACACTTTGAAAATTCGATTTTATGTGTTCAGTCTGATAGTTAACGACCTCGTCGATTAGAGCATGTTTTGGTTTGGCCACCTAAATGTTTCTTGTAGTCAACTCTTACACTAGTAGAAATGGTGTACGTGGAACAGCAAATTGTAATTCCGATTGAAAACTTGAGCACGTGGTAGTAGGTTAGTGTAAACAAGACAACATTTCCTATCGTCCTCGAGGTATTAATCCTATAACTGCATACCTTTCATTATACGATTTAGTTTGACTCGTTCGAACTAGTTGTCTTCACTTATTTTCCCACCCCATGTAACATAGTTTACCCTCCACTACCTTTCGCTTTCCCATATTGTCTCTTTCTATGCTGTGAGATATGACATCTAGAACCAATACGCACTTATCCCAGGTTATAGACTGGCTGACTGAATGTCGTCCAGTACTATCAAGACTATTGGATTGAGAGTCACCTGAGTTTTAATTTGGATCATGTATACAAACCACAATATACTGATTTCCACAACTTAAAGCTGTCCGTTTGTGAAGTCCATTCTTCGTGAACAGTATCCCTTCACCCGATTGTGATTTGAGTATGTATTGCAAAACTTCGTCGTCACATATCAACTTACATAATGGACCATTGTATGTTATCAAGGAAAAATTGCTTGTCTTGCTGTCTCCCAACTCTTGTGACAGGAAAATGTAGATTTTTTCAAATCTGAAAATCAGATATTAGATCCATGTGTTAAAATGATCAGCCTCCATCTTTGGAAAGATTCTAAATTCGACGTCATGGCTTTATTTCCCTAAAATTGGCGAACACTGCACTATTTCTTAAGATTTACAGCACTAAAATAGTTTCGAAAGTGCTATTTCCTTTTAATATTTAATATTTCCCGATTATTATCTGTTGATTCGTTAAAATGCAATGGAAGCTTTTCAACAAGGGGCCGATTTCGGTGATTCATTTGTTCTCTCTAACCAAAGTTCGCGCTTCTGGTGCTCTGTCTTTTTCAAGTGAATCATCGATGCAGCTAACCTGAAGAATTGGCAAATTTTTCCTGAAATTTGTGTCATAACGTAAGAAGTGAAACTATCAGTACTTAGTAAACATTTTAAGTTGCAGCACCTTTTAACGACTGGAAGAAAAAATTTTAATGCTGAAAAATATATGACAATTATTATAATTGTTGATGTAGGCTTTCAACCTGCAAGAATGTGTAGTTTGTTCGGGAAGTGATTTTAGTCACGACTGTTCTAACTGTAAGTTTGTACTGGCTATTATTTCTAACACCTTCAATAGTTTAACTTTCTTTGCACAAGTGAATCCAACTGTCAGTCGCTAATCTGCAAAAAGAAGAACTGAAAATATCTACGTTGAACTATTCAAATCAAATTTTTACATGCACTTCCTCAACAGATACATTATGGCTTTAAATTGATGAATAATTTGCTTTCGTCGTCATATATTACTATTTGTGCTCTCTAGGATGTCATTTGTTTTCATATATCAAGATATACCATTGATTTTACTTCACTAAAAATAGAAAACCGCAGAACATTCGTGCGACTACTTTCAACTAACATCATAGAAGTGTGTTTTGTTTCCTTAGTTACAAGCACTGGCTACAAGGGGTATTACTATCAAATAGGATTTTTTTCCACTAAACCCATAAAATACCAGTTAAATCACCTATGCTGTGATCAATTATATACCCTGATTAACTATTGACTATTCTTCTTATCTAACATCTTGTTTTGCTACTTCTATCCTATGTAGGACCTCGTGGACACAGATCTCGTAGTCGATCCAGTCCTCTTCCCATTGACCGTAATTTATTAATGACTTGGGTATGTGAGTGAATTTCAAAGTAATATTCCATAACTTTTCGCTTCAGGATTATGACGACTATGTTCAACAAGTTAGCCGTGGTATGCGATCGAATATATATGGTGGATTGGTAAGCTTTACCTTGAGTAAAGGTTCATATTTCTTAAAGCTTTTCATCGTATTTTAAATCCCGAACTTCGTTGCTGTCCAATTAATCATGGGCCGTATTCGTAGTTTATAGTAGTTGACTTTTGAACTAGATTTTGTATTTCGTTTCACTTAGAATTTTCTGAGCTTATCTTTCTGTGGTTTTGAAGGCATGATACCAGATTACTTGGATTATTTGTCATAGTTGTTTTGTAATTTGTGGTTAGTACTCTTGTATAAATTTGGTTTTCTTGGTTCTCAGATTCAATGAAGGAATACTGAGTTAAATTTTTAAGCTTTGATTTATATTTTCTTGAGACCATTTCTATTTATTAAAAAAATCGTAATCTTAGAAATTAAGTTAGCACATGCTATTCAAATATGAATCTTTCGCGTATTTCAAATATTGAAATTTAACGAGATACAGTTCGCTTATATGCAAGAAATCTTGTCATTGTTGATCAGACTAATAACTCAATGGTTTATGTTTCAGGGAAGTCGCGTCGCCGGTCCAAGTGCTTATTCACAAGTTTCCCAAAGTCATGAAAACGATCTCAGAGTGAGTTTTCGAATATTTATCCATGCAACATCCTCTAAAATGTACTTTCCTCTACGTGCTGTTGACAGTTTAAATGCAACTTAACGGAGATCGTTTCTCTGTATTTTATAGTACGAAGAGAAAGTTGATGCGTTTCTACGAGGAATTGGGTCACGTCCAAAAGTTGGAGGGCATGATCGTCATTACTCACGCAGTCCTAGCCGTAGCTGTTCATATAGTCCACCTCCACCACATCCCCACAACCGTCGTCGTGAATATTATAGGGGTTCCTCATCCTACTCCAGATCTAGATCGCCTTCTGGACCAAACATACCTTTATCTAAGATCCGTCGTGGAGAGATAGATCCTGATGTTTATTGTCATCGCCCACCAAGTCAATATTTATCTCCTCGTCGAAGAGACCATACAGGTTCTCACAGTCGTTCTCCTACGAGTTTCGGTCGTGAAATACCAGCACAATGGAGAAAGCCTTCACAAGCTTCTGTAGCGCATTCTGGCGGA